AATCTTTACATTTTTCACCCTTTTTCTCTTTAAATATTTACACAATTCACCTAAAATTTTTAAATTGTAAATTTTTGGTCCACTATTTTTATAAAGTGATATTTAAATTTTTTATTCTACAATTTAGCACCCCCTTGGCAAAAATCCTGAATCCGCCACTGACAGTCACTATTACTTAATAGTCACTATAAGGAATTTTATTTATAGATTTCGACATCATATGGAACAGGAAAAATTCCCATCACAAAAAAAGAAAAAGAAAAAAGGAAAATGAAATTCATATTTGACTATTATTGTCTTATTAAAGAAAAATGGAATATTCTAAAGGATCGTACATTTGATAAATTGACGAGAAAGGATTAATTATTAATTTTCTCTGCAAATTATTCTAGAAACCAATTTTTTTTTTTTTTGAGTTAAAAAATAAAAATAAAATAAAGAAAGAAGAAGAAGCTGGACTCCAACCTATTTATAGATCAAAAATCAATCGGTACATAAAGAGTTTCAGTCAATTTGGTAATCTGAAAAATAGCTAAATATATCAACGACAAAAAAATAAAATCTATTAAAAATAGAATGATACGGGTAGTATGCTACACCAGATGAAATACACCGAATAACTTTGCATCATAAATATATACAAATAACAGACCACACGATGTATTTTATCAAGTGTAGCATCTACAAAACTTTTTGGTCCCATGACGATGCTATCAATCAACATATTGTGGTACAAGACAGCTGTTTGAACTTTCATGCATGACATCGACATATCATATTCTAGAATTTACTTTTGATTTATGGAATTAATTAAATGTAACGCTTTATAATCGAATGAGGTTTAGCCAGATGTGACCAAATTTGGAATGTTTAAATATTTGTCTTTTCCGAAATTTGCTTGTTTCATCATGAGAATTTACGACTTTTGCATAATTTTCCACCTCAATTTCCAAAATTTCGATCGTTGAGATTCATCGACGTTCTGGGTCGAATTTGAAATTATAAATATTTTTTTTATTTTTTCTTTGGGTAAATTACACCCATACCCTTGAGGTATGCTGAAAGAACTTTAAAATCCTTGTGGTATCGGTAATTGCGCTCACACCCTTGAAACACAGTTAGAAACTCCTATGGGATAATGCGTTAGATACGTTATTCCAATAGGAGTCTAACGAACTATTAGTTTCAAGAAATGGTGGAAACAACATACAGCTATGGGTGATCTAAGAAATGTTGGCGGAACAGTGTGAGCCCCTAGCTCTATGTTGTCTCCACCACTTACTAAAAGTAATAGTCCTTTAGAACTCTGTCGGAATAACATATCTAATGCATTATCCCGTTAGAGTTTCTAACTATGTTTCAGGGGAGTGCGTGTAATTACCGATACCACAAGGATCTTAAAGTTATTTCAACATACCTCAGGGATGCAGGTGTAATTTACCTTTTTTCCTTTTTAACTTAGTTGCATTGTCCCAAAGAAGGCACTAGTTTTGTTGCATGTCAACGTTTTGCTCTAATGATGGTCCCGTTCTATAGCTTTTCTTGGATATACATATATAATGCTTGTAAAGTTGAGTTTACATGTTTTTTTCTTTGGATTAAATAACAAAATAATAAATAAACAAATAAATACCAAACATTATATTTATAATATCAACATTGTTGTGTATGTTGTTACATTAGAGCTAGGTTGATAATCTAGCGTATTCCCAATTCAAACTTTTCTCATTTTTGGAACAAATTTATTTGTTATGTTCCAATTTTTGAAATTTAAACTTACAGTTATTTTCAATTAATTTTTTTTCCCAAAAATATTAATCTCAAACCGATCCATCCAATTTATTCTATATTTATCTAAGAGCAATTCCAATGGGGGAATCAAATGGAGTATTATATGATAAAACTTCCATTTTGATTCCCAAAACTTAAAATTTCTTCTCCAATGGAAGCATCAAAGGGTAGTCTTTTTGATACTTTATATTCTAGAGGTGCAAAAATGCACCCAAAAAAACCAAGTATCAAATATTCCTAGAAATTAGGAAATGCAATTTCAACGTAAACAAAATAAATTTTCTAACAAATTCCCATGGAATAGGGACCAAATAAATCTATTAATTTATGTTTAATACATATTTAAAAATAAAATAATTTATTTGATTCCTACGGGTTGGAGTATATTATTTTTTTTGAAGTACCAAAGTATTATTTCAAGCATCAATTAAGGATTTAGATGCCTCATTTTAATACCTACCATTGGAGTTGCTATTAAAGCATTTTTTATTATTTTATACACGAGTTAGAGCAACTCCAACCCATTGTTATCAAATGGGATTATCAAATACTCATTTGATAACCAGGATTATACTTTGATATCTCTATATAACTAGTGAACTCCAACCACAAGTATCAAAAAACAATTATCAAACAAATTTATGATTATTTATATATTATTTATTTTCCAATCTATTTTAAATAACCATACAAACCGATTTTTTTGGTAAGCTATCTTCAAAATCAATATTAGTCAAGTAAAATTATATATAAATAGAGATTATTTTTTCCGTGGAATTTTGTTGAAGCTATAGAGAAAGAAAAAAAAATATGTTGAAAACGTAGAAAATTTTATTTTATTTTGTTGAGATTTTTTTTCCAGTGGAAATTTGTTGAAGATGTAGAAAATTTAATTTTATTATGTTGAGATTTTTACGTAAAGAAAAGAAAACTCAATTATGTTGAGGTTTTTCTTTTTTCACGTGCTCCTATTTTTTAGGAGAATATTTGATAACTATTTATTTGGGATGTATTTTTACTCCCCGAATGATGAGTTATCAAAATAGAACCCTATTTTAATAACCCCATTGGATGAGAGAGTTTTTAAAATTGGGGAGTCAAATGGAGGTTAAGGGATTTGATAACCCATTTAATAACCCGGTTGGAGTTGCTCTTAGTAAGTTTGATATTCTACAAAGACCCAATGCTTGGAATTATTTTGGAATTTATTTTTATTTTATTTTGGAAAAATACATTTTAAGGGAATAATTTGAGAATGAAAGTAACGTTTAATTTGTTTCTAAACTGAGAATAAACAAAATACATTGTTGCAGTAAAATTATGTTGGAAAATGTATTTTAGAAGAAAACTTTGAAAAATAAAGTGATGTTCGTTCGTTTTTTAATAAAAACATTTTCTTAAACTCTTTTAACTATAAAAGTCAAATCATGTCTCGGGCAGAGAGAATCTTTTGAAATGTTTGTAGAAATTATTTTTGAAAAGCTAAACAAACACGAACTCAGTTCCGAAAAATAATAAAATTGAAATGGAAACGAAACCAAACATTGTCGAGGTCTTTTTTTTTTTTTTTTTTTTTTTTAAATTAGCTACTAATAACGCCAAGTTCATTGACCAAAATCCAACATACTAATAGCTAGTTAATGGTGAGTGAGGGTTAGATTATTTATAATTTATACAAATCAACCTATGTTCGATTTTAGTAAGATTTGTGCAAAGATTTTAGTAAGATTTAGATACAATAATAGAGAGGTAACCAATTAAAATTACTATTTAAATATAAAAAGGACTAATATAAAATGACTATTTAAATATATAAAAGACTAATATAAAATTACTATGCATGCTTTGGACTATCACTATTTTTGTGCAAAGAATATTATTTATTGATTTTGACAGTATAATGATATTTATGTAACGAATACTCTCCAAATTATTCTAGACAATATTAATATTCCACACACGTGCTGATTAAGGAAATTTATTTAGACATATTTTGATTTATATTATTTAATTAAAATACAAAATATTTTTTTTTACCAATTAAAAGAAAGAGAAAAAAAATCAGAATAATCTTTCTTTGGATATAAGTCTTCGTGTGTAGAGTCGGGTCATAACAATTCTCTTACTGACACACTGTAGAAAATACAGTGTTTTTTGTATGTATCTATTTATGGTACATAACTGTAATTTTTTCCCAATTTTGTAAATTAATAATAATATTGTGAATGAATATTATATATTAAATAGTGTCTATTAAGATAACATAAGTGTTGAGAAAATAGAAAATTAAAATACTCGAGTATTTCGAGTGTAAATGAACCGAATCGAATTATACACATTATTAATATTTTTATGATTTTTTATCGACCTTCAAAAATTAGGTCGGGCTTTGTTTCACCATATGATCAATCCATGAAACTCAAACAATCTTTAATAAAATCAAACCCGAATCGAACTTAAAAAACGTTGGAAATGCCATGTCTTTATTTTTTTTAATTTTTTTTTAAATACACCCATAAAAATATGCACGAAGCTAAGAATAATAATTAGAAAGAGTCGTTAAAATACGGTAACTTTGTTCGCGCCCATAGTTCTGAATGAACATAATCCAATTTTGTTCGCCTCCATCTAGTCGAGTCGAACGCATAGTTGTTTAAATTTATTTCAAGAATTATCACACTTTATAAGTTATGTTTGGTAATCAGTTGAATCGAACTCGAACAACTTAATTTCCTAAAGTCGAATACAAATCGAGTTCGAGTACGTAATCTAAATTTCTTATACATATTTTATACAGTTTTCGTCATAATCAAACTCCAGCTCGAGCCGAACTTCATACTTAATTCAGCGAACGAAAAAACTTGCTCAATTTTGATAATCAGTTGAATCGAACTCGAACAACTTAATTTCAATCAAGTCGAATACAAATCGAGTTCGAGTACGTAATCTAAATTTTTTACACATTTTTTATACAATTTTCGTCCTAATCAAACTCCAGCTCGAGCCAAATTCATACTTAATTAATTATCGAACGAAAAAACTTAGCTCAATTTTAGTTCACTGTATCGACAAACTGAACTCAAACAAACGTTTATTACCAAACTCAATGTTCACAAAAAACCCAATACCAAAAAGAATGTAAATTTTCAAAAAAAAAAAAAATAATAATAAAATCAAGGATTTCTTTTTCTTTTTATTTATTTATTTATTTATATATATTTTCAATTTCTACTATAAATAGAGGGCAACTTGTGTGGTTCACTTACATTTAATTTGCCTTCAAGAAAGAAAAAAGAAAAAAATAAAAATAAAAATAAAAATGGAAAACTCAGTCTCTCTAAGTGATTGCCACGTCAAGAAAAAGAATCTCATAATAAACAGATTCCATTTCTTCATCCATGGAATCTCTCTCATAGCTCTACTCCACTACAGAATCACCACATCCTCCCTTACACGTGCCCCTCACGTGCTAATCCTAATCTCCGAGCTCATACTCTCCTCCATATGGCTTCTGGGCCAGGCCTCCTACTGGAGACCCGTCGTGACCCGAACCGTTTACCCGGAACGGCTGCCCCGGGACGAAAAGCTGCCCGGCATCGACGTGTTTGTGTGCACCGCCGACCCGAGTAAAGAACCCGTTTTGCAGGTGATGAACACGGTTATATCCGCTTTGGCGCTGGACTACCCGCCCGACAAGCTCCATGTTTATCTCTCCGACGATGGTGGGTCCCACGTCACGTTTCGGGCCGTTAAACGGGCCTGGATTTTCTCGGAGATGTGGGTCCCGTTCTGCAGGAAGTATCGGGTCGAGAACCCGTGCCCCGAGTCTTATTTTTCGTCTGGTGAAGAAGAAAGTGCAGGGTTTGGTTGCAGTGAGTTCTTGGTGGATAAGTATAATATCGAGGTTTGGATATTATTATTATTTTTTATTATTATTATTATTATTATTATTATTATTATTATTATTATTGCACCTACATCCTGAGATAAAGTCAAATTACGAAAAACCCTTTATATTTTGACAATTACAAATACCCTTCGACTATGAATTTTCTTACACGTCCACCCTAAATTATGGTGTCAAATTCAACATAATCTTCTTGATTTCGTGAAATGTTTTCCAGTTTGTACTCGTTTTGTGTTAAAAAAAAGGCAGTTTCATATGCACGTACAATCTGATATTAACAAGGCAATATACACATATTATGATCATCCTGTTTCTAAATGTTGAGCTAAAATGGGAGTAAAACGGGTAGAACTGAAAAATATTCCACATAATCTAGAAGATTCCACTAAATTCGACACTGCAAATGTTGACATGTAAAAAATTTCACAGTTGATTCGTGGTTGTAATTATCCAAACATGAAGGGGTTTTTGGTAATTTGACATTGGGTCGCTGTGATTTACCCTATTATTATCATTATTTTAATATGTGTATTTTATAAAATTCTCACGTTTAATTCAGCTTTTATTATTTTTATTCTAAAAATAAATAGAAAAGGTACGAGGAATTCAAAAACTCTGTAGCAAAGATTGTCGGAGAAACAAGTGCTTACATGAGTAGAGATCATCCATCTCTAGTTGAGGTATTTTTAATTTGTCCCACGTTATTTTTTTTTTCCCGAAAATATTTATTATTTTAGATTTTTAATGAAATTTTAATTGAATCATTTTCAAATTTACCATTTATCATTTTTAATTAATTAGTTAAAAAACGATTAATATCAAGGGCATTTTAGTAATTTTATATATTTTTACTATAATCTGCACTTATTTATTGATTTTATTAATACGTGTACAATAACCTAAAATGACATTTAAATGATGTTGTGGACTGTTGCGCACAAATTAAAAAAAAAATCAAAAAATGTGCATGAATTATAGTAGAATATAGAAAATCATTAAAATATCATTGACATTAATTATTTTACAATTAATTAATTAAGATTGATAACTTGTAAAATTGAAAATAATTCAACTAATGCTTCATTGAAAAATCTAAAATAACAAATGATTCGAGACAATTGTTTTTTTATATATATAAAAAGACAAATAATATAGAACATACCGATAGAATAGTAATTAAGTGTAAATCATTAATGATAATTAATCCTAATTTATGCAGGTGATTAGTGATTCAAATGGAGATAGAAAATTGCCTCTTCTGGTTTACGTTGCTCGTGAAAAAAGGCCTTCTCGTCCACACAATTTCAAAGCCGGTGCAATTAACGTTCTTGTAATTAACTCTAACCCACATTTTTAAAATTAAATTAATTTTCACTCGATATAATTAATAATATTCGTTGTTATTTTTTCGAACAATTTATGCAGCTTCGAATATCAGGCATGATAAGCAATTCGCCGTACATTCTGGTACTTGATTGTGACTTTTATTGCAACGATCGATCATCGGCCCGTCAAGCAATGTGCTTCCATCTCGATTCTAACTTGTCCGAAAAGATCGCGTTCGTCCAATTTCCGCAGACGTTTCACAATATTAGTGACACTGATATATATGATGGGAAGTTGAGATATATTTGGGTAAATTTAATTACACTAATTTATTTTCAAAAAAAAAATTATGTTACAATATATATAAATTTCTCTATGTATTTTTTAAATTATTTTACATAAATTTCAGCCGAAATTTGAAGGATTAAATGGGCTACGGGGGCCGTTTTTATCCGGGACATGCTTTTATATAAAGAGGGAAGCGCTCTATGGAACTCGAAAATTTCATGACGGTAATCCTAATAGTATTTAGGTCTTAATTAAAAATTAAAAAAAAATGTATAAGTTCAAAATAGCCGTCATTTTTTTTTTACTACGTGCAGATGTTGATCTTCTCCGGGTCAAGAAGTATTTTGGGTCGTCCGACGAGTTCATCAAGTCGATATCTAGAAACTACAAACCGAGTTATTCGAACGACAAAAAGTTTTTGGATAATTCGTTGCAGAATGAGTTGCATTTGCTAGCTTCTTGTAGCTATGACAATGACACAAAATGGGGGAAAGAGGTAAGTTAAATCCACATATTTATTAAAACAAAAATAACCTTATATTATTTAAAAAAAATTCTATGGTCGACGAAGTTAGAGGGAAGCACTATATTTGTTTGGTCAGCGACGAGACTGACCTACAATGTTGATATTATAAGTGTAGTTTTTCCGAAAGCTGTTGAAATTTTGGAAATTAAAATCAGACCGGAAATCAGAATCTCGTATAAATTCAATTTCGATCCAAAAAAATCAATTTTCAAAATTCAAAAAAAAAAAATCCAAAAATCGAGAAGTTCGAAAACTTTGTTCCAATTTTAGTTCCTATCACGTAGGGGATTGAAAAACAATGCAGGTGGGGTTTAGATATTTCGCGGTGGTGGAAGATTATTTTACGGGGTTGAATTTGCACTGCGAGGGGTGGACTTCGGTGTATTACGAACCATCGAGGCCGTGTTTCTTGGGCGCGTCGCCAATTAGTCTAGGGGAGCTTCTGGTGCAGCACACGCGCTGGAATGTGGGATTGAGCCAGGTTGCTCTGTCGAGGTTTTCGCCTATGATTTACGGCACAATGAGAATGTCGGTTTTCCAAAGCATGTGTTATGCAGAAATTGCATACAGCCCCCTTTACTTCTTGGCCCTTTACATTTTAGCCCTCGTTCCTCAGCTCTGCCTTCTCCAGGGGATTCCTCTGTATCCTGAGGTTTGTCTCTTTTTTTTTCTTTTTCTTTTTTTTAATGATAATGAATATTGGAACTGATTTTTTGAATTTTGCCGCTAAATATGACAATTTTCAAAATTGGAATAATTTTTTTTTTTTCTTGATGGTTTTCACAATTTTTAAATTTTTAGTATCGGAATTGAGTTAATATATGTATTCCAACTTCGAAATAATGCCAAAAATTACGATTTTGCAAAAAAAAAAATCTTTAGTGCCTATGTGTTTTCACATAGGTTGACATCGAAACAAATTTTTTGAATTCAACCATCAAGATTTGGAATCATCGTCAGTATGATTTCCGAATTTATGATTTATGATTTTCCAAAAGAGATTGCTTCAATTTAGTTTTATTGAAATATTAATTTCGGCCCAATCTGTCTGATTTCCACCTGTAATAGTCGCGCATCAATCTTGGAAATGTCTTAAATGGATCCATTATGTTCGATTTTATTGTTACATTTGACTAGGTTTCTTATCTAACACATGTTCGTTTTCTTCCCTCCACAGATTTCAAATCCATATCTCCTCGTGTTTTTATTCGTTGTCCTCTCATCCCAAGCGAGACACTTACAAGACGTCTTCTCAACGGGGCACAAAATCCAGGCGTGGTCAAACGAACATCGCATTTGGATGATGAAATCACTAACATGTTACTTCTATGCCACGTTGGATGTTATAATGGAAAAATTTGGTCTGAAAAATAATAGTTTCGTACCGACAAATAAGGTCGTAGACGAGGAGCAAGCCAAACGCTATCGAATGGGAGTGTACGATTTTCAAGCACCGGCAATGTTTATGGTTCCATTGTGCACACTTTACATAGTAAACGTTGCTTCTTTTGTCGTTGGCATTGGGAAGATAATTTTGGGGGGTGGGAATAGCAACGAGATGGTCGTACAAGCTTGTATCCCGTTATTCGTTGCGGTTTTGAATTTCCCTTTGCTCGAAGGGATGGTGTCGAGGAAGGACAAGGGGAGAGTTTCGTCGTTTGTTTCTCTTATTTCTGTTTTAATTGCGGCGGTTGTCTTGTCTTTTGCGTTTTTGGTCTAACTAAAAAAATGAATGTACGAGATTATTCAATTTGGACAATAAAACTTGGAAGTTATTTTGTTACTGAGATTATTCAATTTGGACAATAAAACTTGGAAGTTATTTTTGTTATAGAGTAACGTCGCACATATTGTTACATGCAACGCACACGAGTAACAAATTGGACGGGTATAAATTATTATAACGAAAGAGATAACGTATTCGAATCGTACCTACGTCTGGTAAGATACTTCATGTGGAATCTCACTATGCACTTGATTATAAACCACGCACTCATTCACACACCTATATGTATACACGTGTGTTTGTGTCTAAATCTACAGTGTGAGAATTACATGATGTATTCCACGAGGTGTACGATCTCAACAGCCACACGAAAGAGAGATTTAGACAATCAAATCAACATGAAGAGTTTTCATGCAAATTTTCTCGAATAAAGAGACATTTTATATATGAAATTACACAAAAGTCCCTTACAAAGCAAAATAGCAAAAGAAAAATAAAAATAGTGCAAATTGGGCAGATTTTCTCTTGAGGCCAAGCCCGTACCTCTCATCTAGCTAATATAAATTAAACTTGTATTTTTATTTGGGAAAAATATAGTTTTCATCCCTTAAGTTTGCTCAAATTACACATTTGGTCCCCTATGTTCCCAAAAAATATATTTGGTGCCTCATGTTTCAAAAATTTAATACTTTTAGTCTTTTTCGTCAATTTTATGTTAAAACTAACGGAATCAAATGTGTCCCCTGTCACTATGTAACTGACGAGTTGACGGTAAATTGATGGAAACGACCAAAAATGTAAAATTATTGAAACATGAGGGACCAAATGGGTTTTTTTGTGAATATAAGAAACCAAGTGTGAAATTGTTGCAAACGCGAGGATGAAAACTGTAAATTTCCCATTTTAAGTTTGCACCCTGAGCTTAAACCACGAAAAATCATTGACAATGTACCCTAGAACCTAATTATCGGCTATTTTCTAAAAGACAACACGGCAAATCAAACTATACATACGGAAGATGTAAATTGCACTGTGCAAGTCATGTGTAATAAAATTGATCTGAAGATATTGTTAACGAATCAAACTCGGATCGTAAAACACCGCCTTGATCGATCTCTCCTATTCGACCGACTCGCTAGTAAATTTTTATTTAAATATATGAAAAACATATAAAACACTAAAACCAATGAGCTTGTGCATTTCAACCAATCAAAAACTAAAACGTGACATGGAAAACAAAGTGATTTCATTCCTCTGCAAAAAAATTCAAACAAATTATTACAACACATATAAATGACAAACCTTTGATAGTTCCCATGTACTTCACTGTTTCCTTAACCTCTCTTTCATTCATTCAATCTTCTTTGACAGAGTGAGAAAAATAAATAAATAAAATAAAAAAGATTGATTGGATTATGTAATAAATACTATGAAACTTAAAAGTGCTGTCCAGAAAAGACAGCAGCAAAAAACAAAGGCCAACGAGAAGATTTATTTATATTTTTTTTAATTTTTTTTATTTTCTAATTAAAAGAGGAGCAAAACAAATCATCACACCTTTAGCCAATAAAAAGCTTTAAGCAAATTCATAATGATGCCTTTATTATTACTTCTTTTTGTCATATGCAGAAATAGTAATTCTTTTATGGTTTTATTAAGGCCCGGCTCTAGGAAATTAAATTTTCTGTTTTTGGATTTCCTTATACAGTGGAATCTCGATAAATAAATATTTAATAAATTAATAATTTTACTTAAATATAAATTTCTCCTAGTCTGACTATGTGAAAACGTATTAACATATTAGCTCGATAATTTAATATTTTACTAAATTAATAGAATTTTGTTCATTCATAGAGGTTTAACTGTAAATTTTTTTTATATAAGCAAAATTTTCATAGATATTTTTTTTTACTGAAAACTTTAGAATTTGGCCGTTGCATTATATATTTAATTGAAATTTTATTTATTTTTAATAGTTTATATATATATATATATATATATATATATATATATATATATATATATATATATATATATATATATATATATATATATATAAATTTTTTTAGCTCCTTGATACCCAATTAAATTTAAAAAAAAATAAAAACTATTAGCATAGAGGCCTTGTGTCATTAATGTCTAACTTGCCTATAGATCAAGCTCGATGCACATAGCTTGTCCGGTATAATTAACATCTCTCATTTGTTTTTTAAGATCCGATCCTATTGTACGAAAAACTGAATCTATCCCATGCACATCTATAATTGCGGGTTATTTTTAATTTGTAAATAAAAACACGATTGAGATTATCCCATGCACATCTTTAATTGCGGGTTATTTTAATTTGTAAATAAAAACACGATTAAGATTGTATCCACATTATGCTATCAAGTAGTACATATTTCATCGTAAATTTGTACACAATCAATGACCATGTACATACATCTATAACATATGTATAGCAATTAAGTAGGATGATGAGAACTCTAGAATTAAGCTGGTTTTTTGTGTACCTAGCTCAAGCATACAAGTTCTTGATTTTTCTAACAAAAAAAACAAAAATTAAATATATATATATATAGTCCTAGATGCTATATAGTAGGAAGAGAGGGCCATTACATATATATATATATATATGTGTGTGTTTTGTGAGTGTGTGTAAAGTTAGGGAAAGCACTGCAATATGGGCAGTGTAACCATATAAAAGAGGAACCAGAAATAGAAAATGGAATGATGCTATTGGGCACAAGTCATTCACTAAATCTCAGCTAAATGAAGCACAAATCTTTTGCATGCTTTGTGTTATCTGAGACAAACTGCTATTTTTTCTAGAGAGAGAATTGGAAATAATCTAATCTTTTCTTTGCTTCCCACTGAGTTATCACTTTCTTTGAAATCTAAGCCCTTTGTACTTTTCTACAAAATGTCAAACATTTTTTTTATTATTATTATTATTACTTTTTTTAATTATTTTATTGGGCAAATTCAACTTTCCTCTCTTGTACTTTGGCTTTGTATCACTTTATCCCATTCCACTCTCGATTGCAACAATTTGCTCCCATGTACTTGAAAAATTATCTCAATGTGGCCCTCACTGTTAGTTTTCAGACATCTGATCTTAACATCGTTTTGTCTAAGGTCTGAAAATTACAAAAACTTCATCTCTCCCAATTTAAATAATTATTAAAAAAAAAAATCAAGACAAGGGGGGAGAATCACGTGGCGGCTCAGCCACCAAAGATCCAATTTTGAAGCATGGTCCATGACTGTAGCCACCAGAAATCAAAAAAGAAAAAAAATTGTTTTTTTTTTATAACTACTTAAACTGGAAGGGGTGGTATTTTTGTAATTTTCAGGCCTTTGGCCGAACGGTGCTAAGGTCAAATTTCTGAAAATTAACGACGAGGGCGACATTGAGACAATTTTTCAAGTAGAGAGGGACAAACCGATGCAATCGATAGTAGAATGGGGTAAAACAATATTTACCCAAAGTATAAGGGGTGAAAGTGGAATTTGGCCTTTTTTATTTATTGTTTTGGGTATCTGTGGGAGAGTGAATGAATGACTGGTAAATGGTAATCATTGCGATGCTCACGTAATTGATATATGTTCTGACGAATATAAATTAGAATTTAACTTTTAATTAATGACGAGGGAGATCTATGAAGGAATATTTTCAGTGTGCTTTTGGATTATTCTTGCAGGAATAATATTGATTATTTTTATTTTTTATTCTTATAAATGTCGTTATTAAAATAGGTCTGGAAATTTGATTTTTTTTTTTTTTTTAATTTGGTCGATTTTGTCTGAATATTTTCGATTATGGAACATTTTTTTTTTAATTTCGAGGAACCAATTTTTACGATTTCCTTGGAAAGAGTTAAATTGTATATTAGATCCCAATTTTCGATCTGATTTTAAGTTTTGTATATACTTTAAAGATTCCATTTTTTTATGAAAAAATGTACTTATAATATCAATAGTATCATAAAACAAAAACGACTTACAAATCGAGCTCAAATCAAACATGTAGTTGAGTAATGTTTGATATGTGAGTAACAAATTATTACAACATCTATGTTAATTCATAGACAATGAAATAGCTAAAAGTTATTACAACATATCTACAAAATCAAAATATTCTTGTACTATAATTTTTTTGAATAATGACAATAATGAATTAACATATTTTGTAACAAGCAAAGAAGTTCTGATTTGCTACCTGTGAATATACATACAAAGCAAATATGGTTGGTTATTAATCATTCAAGTTGGACCAATCCACCCACAATATTTTACATTTTTGTGGGCCCCAACCTAATAAATTTGGTGATGTAATATATATATATATATGTATTTATTTAATTTTATGCAATTTATTTTAAGGGTTAACTGCAAAAAATCCCCTAAACTTTGGACGTTTTTGCGCTTTACCCCCTGAACGGAAAAAAGTTGCACGAGCATACCTGAACTCTATTATTTTTAGCACCGATGTCCAAAATGTACATTTTTGGCCAAAATTGACCGGAATTCAAATCACGTGCCTAGCACGTGAATATAGTTGGGGTAAATTAGTATTTTCCTTTTACACCCATTTTCTTCATTTTTTTTTAATAAATATAAATAATTAAAAAAGGAAAAAAGAAAGAAAGAACAAAAGAAAAGAAAAGAAAAAAAGGGGAATATTGAATTCCCATCATCTTCGTCACAGACACACCACCACACACAAATCAGACAACCACCCACCACAGCCTGATCCGTACGCACCACCACCACCACCACCACCACCACCGAACCACTTTCAATCCATCCCCCATTTCTGCTAGTTCGATCTCGAAAATCTGCTATTCAATCCACCCCTTCACCATCACTAGGCAAAGAAATTGGGGTTTTTTGCGGTGCTCCGATCTCAAAGTTTGACCGCCGGCTGGTGGTTCATTCTTTGCCCAATCAATCAATGGGTGGCGGCGGCGGCGAATTGCAGCGGTGGAAGCAACCAATTTGGTGGAAATATGACACTGTAGCAAGGGATAAACCTTCCACCATTGAAACCTCCGGCGGCGGTGTATCAATTTCAGATCCAGAACATTTTTTTCTTCT